TCTACTTGCTACTTTTACGAAGTACCTTTGCTTTTTGTTTATAATTCCTTACCCCTACCCACTTAATAAGCCTTTTTTTTATTTTCTTTTTCTCTCTTGTATTTCAGTTTGCCTGGAAGAGATCGCTGCTTAGCGATAAGGCCGTCTTTCATTTTTAAGTTAGTACGTAAGATTTTATCTTTTGCAGTTCATGTGGGAATTATAAGTTATAAACTGAAATAAAATATATTCGAAGAATATTAATTCGAGCATGACTTTTTTATAGAACTACTCGCACTCGTAGATATTTTTTTAAAGAGGTTACGATTATGTAAATTACTTATGAAGGTCCCATTATATATGGTTAAATTTGAATAAGAAATTAATTTAAATTAAGTTTGTTATTTTATTTGTCAATAATGGATATGTTAAGTTAGCTGTAAAATACAATGATAAAGGTTTGTTGCCTATGTGTGAAAGCCCGTTTCCCCGTCGTGGGGCATGGGGCGAACACATTTCTGTGTCCGTTTCACTGGTACATTCTTTAACAGGCAAGTAGTTGATCAGACTTCTGTGCCAATTTTTTGTTTCCCTGGGACTCGAACCCAGGACCTCTCGCGCTTAACGCAATGCTAGGCAATACGTTTAACCATTTGGCTACAGAGCCGGTCGCCTGTGTTGCCTATACATTGACGAATTCTTGATTTTTTCACATAAGATTTATATGCAATAATTTTAAACGTAATAAATAGTGTAGTATATACTAAATATACACAAATATAAAAATACACAAATTAATTTAAAAAAAAAAAGCAATATATAAGGATGTTATAGAGATTGGCAATTAATTTTCTATCGATCAGCTGGTAATCTTCGCTGTGAAATAAATAAGCCTTCAGATTTAAGTTACCTACTGTAAGAATCTTAAAGATTTTTTAACGATAGAGGAGGACAGACAAATATAAAGTTAACTTGGTGGTAGGTGAAAAACCCCATCAACGCATCTGTTCTATAGGAACAGATGCGTTGATGACCATTTTGGAGATGGATATTCGGAAATCCACAGATTGAAACCGAAACGTGATTAAACTTCACGACTTTTTTTGCTGCGGAGTTTTGATATCCCTAACACCCATTATATATCCAGATTTTCAGACGAAGTCAAACATATTTCAGAAAAAATATAAATATAAGAAAATGTTGGACCCCATTTCACCAACGAGCCCTACCGATTTTTTATGAAGCCTAAAATATATGGGCTATCCAGGCCACCTAAATATGTACACAAAAATTCTCCAGTACAGAATAAAGATCGTGATATTAAGTCAAAAGTGTGTTCACAAATTACCAAAGTCAATATTCCCTCATAATTATTGTATGAAATTTCATGATTAAATTCTCCGAATTCGACAAGTAGGCAGGCAAATGCCAGTGAAAATTCTCTCACGCCTTTGAAATGTATAAAACGTTAACCTTTTACCCTAATTGAGGCAATAATAATTTCGTAGCGAATTCTCTGTAAACAGAGCCCCTAAATAATACCGATATTTCGGGCACGTACAAAATTCGCGTCGATATTTGCGAATATACATTATCAAGCTGAGTGTATTTACATTTTATCCATATTTCTCTTATCACTTCATTGCAAAATTTAATTAAGAGTTTGAAGGTGACGGTGTGTTGCCCCATGTGAAATAATTGCGTGAGTAATGCCACACAATATATCTATACTAAATAAAGCTGAGGAGTTTGTTTGTTTGAACGCGTTAATATCAGGAACTACGGGTTCGGATTGAAAATTCTTGTGTTGATTAGAACATTTATTGAGGGAGGCTATAAGCTGTAAACTATCGCCCTGTGTGTATTACAAGCGAAGATATAGCGAGAAATGTGAAAGAAATTAGGAATATTATTCATAATTATGGGTTTCCGAGGTGTACGCTGCAAAAACGGTTCAAGATAACCCAAAAAATATGTATAAAAGAATGATTCTCTTTCAATGATCTAGAACAAAGTTCGACGCTATATGCCTATCTTTTAAGATTAACTTGTGAGAACGACGGGAAGGGACGCGACCGACGTCGAGGGTAACAACATCAGTTTATAAAGGGGTTTGCAAAAAAGAATTTGGATGCCCAAAATAAAAAATTCTAAGCGGACAAAGTCGCTGGCACAGCTAGTCACTCATAAATGGCTCATGATCAAAAAATATCTATATATAATTAAAAAAATCGAAAATAACTTGAAAAAAAATTTCGACTCGTTCAGGACTTGAACCGTCAGCGTTCAAAGCAACTGCACGGAACGCTGACGATGCCGGTTCAAGTCCCGCCTTCTATATATAGTGCCTTCATGTGCAATAATATGGTAAAAAAATAATAAAGTTTTAAAATATCTATATCTTAGCTACGTAGCGAATTAAGAATTTACATCTCATTTCGGAGGTGCTCTTAAAATATCCTCATTTTTATTATTTAATAACGTGCCAACCTCACGGATTGTGGTTTCCATAATAATAATATTATGAATTCATCAGCATTTTGTATAAGAATTTAATATAAAGCGTTCGGGGTTCGTCGACTTACGTCGCGTAACGTAAATATTTGTCCAAATAATTGATCAAAGATTGCTCCTGTATTAGTGGGACTTCACGTGAATTCACGTTACGGAAATATCTTCGCGTACTTGTGGTACATCAATAATTTAAAAGGCTGCCGTTAATTTACCAATATACGTTAACTTGCGAAGTTTCAAACCGTATTGATTGTAATCAAAATTAATTAAACAAATAGGGTAATATTAAGCGTTACAAAGTGTTAGAAATATAATTTATATTTATGTCATCATATATCTTTCATTCCTCTATGGTTTATATTATCTTCTCTTATCCTAATTTAACTAAAAAGAATGTATAATATTTTCATATTTATTTCGATCTCTCGATTTTGCTTCAGTATCTTTGAATACAAAGAAGAATATACATTATCGTTTAGTTACAACTAAGTTGCAATAAATATATCTTAAACGAACATAAAAAAAAAACCTTTACTTGAATGCTTATCATTAAATGGACACAGATAATAATTGTATCTTTAACAAACATAAACCAAAAAAACTTTTTGTCGTTAAGTTGGCACACATGCGTGCATATCATTAAATGGGCATAGATAATATTAAGTGTTCTGTTTTTTAAGTATAATATGGAATTAATTTATTATTTAATTATTTTTTATCCGTTGTGGAAATAAACAAACGTTCTTAGTTAAATAGAATAAAAGTATTACTATAAAAAAATAATAGAATTACATATTTTTTGGTATTATGTTTCTGTCTTTGAATACAAATATTTAATGATTAGCTCTTCGTAGTTTTGAAAATTACTTACCTTTCCACTCTTGACGTTATCAGCTATGGTGGCAGCGTACTGCGGCATCCCCAAAGCCAGTTCTAGCCAGGCAATGATAGCTGGTGCTCTCCATCTGGATAGAGGAAGAGAAGCCGCTTCTCGGAGTGCTGCTTCACTACCAAGAGGAGACCAAGCACGTGTACCACCAGCGTATACTGGTTCTGAAAAAACGTTTATTATAGAGAATGGATTCTTAGATTTGTTGCGCGTTGCCACTCTAAAAATTCTATGCTTTCCCGGGCGTGCATTTTCAAAAGCTCCGCTACAAACAGCGCGGTATAAAAAATCAATTTAGGGTTTAAAACGCGAAATTATATAAAAAACGACGGGCTTCCACGTGGCCATGGCTGTTTCAAAGCATTGAAAGTAAAAGTATTTTTCACATATATATTTCGCATTTTAAAGCGTTTTATTTAAATGTGTACAAATCGAGTAATTTACATATAGTATTTTCATTTAAGTTGTGTTTTATATAAAGAGGTAGAAACCTCTTTCGTGGCCATATAACTCTTCGGGATTCAAACCTTGCCATTTCTGTGGCGTTTGTAAAAAATAATAAAGTTTTATAAAATAAAAAAATATGGCTTCTGTTGGCTATCTACAGACTTCAGATAAAATACTTGCTTTAAAAACAAATTGACTAAAAAATATGACGCCTAGCAGAAATTAGTGCCACATACCCCACACGGGGAAAACGGGAATGCCCCACTTATAAGTAAAGAGAGACTGTACTAGCACGGATATTGAATAATTTAGATCCATTAAAATTGTCAAACCGCTTTCATGTCCGCTTGATGCTGCACTGCCTGACTTGGTGCGGTGCCTGCTGCGAGCGAAGACACGCGATATGGAGCCCCAAGCAGAGCCCCGGCCTCTGCCCGTTTTGTTGGCGCTCGGGCGACCTCGCATCCCGCCCATCAAAGCTGCCTCGCATTCCCCGGGACTGGAGAGTTGTTCTACTGACCTGCGTAATACAATGCAACAAAGTAAGACACAAATTTATCCACAATAATAATAACTATTTATTAATAAATACATTGATAAATTTAATATTTAGATATTTTATTATATAGATAATTTATTAATTATTTTACTTTGGCCCGATGTTTGGGATGCTTTGCAATGAAATGGTTACGAGAGACTTCGTAAATAAGTTTAACCAATAAGTTTCGCGTTTTAGACCGTTACAAGTGTTTTATTTAAATGTGTAATACTCGCGAACACTATAGATAATATTTAACATTGCTTAAGTTGTACGATTATTATAATTATTAATATCTTTTTTAAATGCAAAGAGTTTAAAATTATTATTTATTAAAAAAATCAAATCATACTGCATTTCTTTGCCTTTTTGTAATCCAATAAGTTCCTATGTTTATTTGGTAGTTTCGAAAATTGAAATTATCAAAATTTCATAAATTGAAAGAAAGAAAGAAAGAAATAGTAGCTATCAGATACAGTAGCTTCGTAAACTAGGAAGCCTCCAAGTAACATAAATAATTATTTAAATTATAAAAATGCTTGGGGTATGGAGGGACCCGCTCTAACAAAGAAGATCTACACATTAAGTGCGTAAGAATTGTAAGAAAAACTTTGCAATTAAAAGAAGTTGCGGCGAGTTTCTTGCCAGTTCTTCGCGTTCGTTCTACGCCCTTAACTTGAGAGTTTCTATTTATTAACTGTTTTGACGTTCCTAAGTCTTTAGTAGAAATTATTTTTTGTATTTTTAATTTGGAACGTAATACGTGAATCGCTTCTAATTTACGTCAATAAAAGTAAAGAAATGTAAAATATGTTTAGTATTATCTTAACATATCACCGTCGTCATTCTGTCCTAAGTATTTAATCTCGTTAGAAGGCTATAAAGCCTTCAAACGTTTAGTTTAATGTCTCAGACCCTCACACTACGACACTTTACTGATCCGTTTACATTCTGATGATCGTGTGTCCGTAATGAGGATGTTATTATATGTTTACTTGTTAAGCGGATTTAATTAAGCTGTAACATATAGTATATAATATCATTGAGGACAGGATGAAACAACAAATTGCAACTTAATTAATAGAATAAGTCTTATTTAATTTAATCACTATTAAGGGTTTTAAACGCGAATAATAGCGGTTACGCTTATTTTAACTTTTTTTTTAAATTTTATCTTGCTTTGCAGCAATTGTGGCTCTGGAAGTATCTAAAATCACAGGTCGTTGTTAAAATAAGTGAAAATATATTTCGCGTTTCAAATCGTTAAAAGTGTTTTATTGAACGGCGTACTACTCGGGAAAACTGCAGACAATGCTTAATTCTTATTTATGAAAGAATTTATTTATGACGATGTTAAGTCCGTTTTGAATTACAAGCTTTGTTAACTTTGCAAAGTAATACAAAAACAACATACCAAAGTAACATATTAGATATAATAACAATACGTAAATATATAGAAAAAGTTAACCCAACGACGTTTCTCTCTATTAGTATATAAATATTATAACTTCAAGGTAAGTAATAAAACGTAATAATTGCATAGTTGAACGGATTTTTTGGTGGTTCAGCTCTTTGCCGTGAAAGTGATAAATAAGAATGTTAAAATACCTAGAGAGTGAACCAGCGTCGATCGATCTGCTGAAGGGCGAAGCGCTGTTGTGTGGCGACAGAGTGGGACTACAGTCCCGCGGAGTGCTCACTGTAAAAAAAAACAGATCTATCGAAGTAGGTACAAAGCTAAACAAGATTTAGAACAACAGGATTCGATCCCTAAATGTATAATTTTTTGCTTACCCCTTAAATCATTGTAAAGGCTTTCCTTCTCTAGAACTTTCTTTGACCAGCTCGATGGTGTAAAGGTAGCAACGTATGACAATTAACGGGTTCGATTCCTACCAGGTCCAACATGTGTATAATCAAATTTTAACTTTTCTGAAACGTGTTCCACTTCGTCTAGAAATCTAGATATTAAATAGGAACATCGTAATTCCGCCCGGGTTACTAACCAATGTCCACAGATGAAAAAGCCGTGAGCCGCTTTTCGGTTCCAGTATGTGAATTTCCGAATATCCAAAATCGAAATAGAAAGAGAGATTCAAAGATTTACCAATTCTTCATATATTTTGTATTAATCGTAATTACACTTGAATTAAAAAATACGTTATCTACTTCGTGATCTATTTAATTATTAGGCAACTATAATATGTGATGGTATAAACTTTTACCGCGTTTGTAACTTAATACTAGCGATATGAATACAGAAATATGTGGGTAAATTTCACTGTTTATAATACCGATATTCGCCTGAGAAAAATGATTTGTCAATATTTCTGAAATAAATTCTGCGCAGCCCGTATTGAGTTTACACAGGCGACAATACCCCGGAAGTAATAAAGTTAAAAGCATTTCAGACGTTAAGTTGGTTTGCAGCGAAATCCATTAAAATTAATTTAATTGCAACGAAAATTTCGATGGCGAATTCATTTTGATAATTATGTTATTTGAGTGATATTTAATACGTTGACTATTTATAAGTTTCGCAAATTATAGGTAGATTGGATTAAACTCTTTTTAACAACATTTTTTTTTAAACATGCTGACATAAGAAATACAACAACTCTACTGTTATATGTTGTAAGCATATAATTAACGTTTGAAAACTTTATTATTTTTTACATGTTATTGCACATGAAGGCACTATATAATTTAATAATCGAAAATAAATTGAAAAAAATTTTCGCCTCGGGCAGGACTTGATTCAGGACTTTTAAATTAGCATAAAATTAACATTTTAGTACAACACACACAAAGTATACAGGTGCCTTATCGCTATAAAAAGAAATAATATGATATTTATCTTTTGAAAGAATAGGTATTACGTGGCTTAAGAATAAAATATTAAATAATATTAAGGTATTTTAAATTCTTAATTATATTTTACGTCAGAAAAACCTTTGTAAATTAATAAAAAGTGGATCATATATTGCACAGTTGTTTGAGTTGAGTTTCTTTTGATAATCAATATGTTTAATATTAATTTCCTGCCTTTTTGTTTGTGCTATTTTGCCTGTACTTACGTTGATAAATAGGATGCGCAGACGATACAAGGGACACAGCATCTGTATCGTAGGGATCTAGACTCGGCGGCACACCTTCTGCTGTGGAGTCTGATAAGTTTCCACCACACACTGAAGTGGCGCCACCATCGCTGCTACCTGTCACTGACATCAACGTCAAAATAGTGTTGACAATTGGATGTGTACTTAAATAGACCGTAAAATAATATCGATTATTATCTGTGGAAACGATTTTTATAATATAACACATTATCTTTAATTGTCAGAAAATTTTGATTGACTAGTGTTGGCCAGTGAATTTAGTGATCAGATAAGTGTCATTTAATGTCCCGCCGTTATTAAAACAATTGTTGCAAGACGCAATTACAAGCACATCACAAATACATAAAGACTACAATTAAATAAGGTAATGCAAGTGCTCATAGGTTGTACCTACATACCAGGTCATAATATCCAAAAATAAGTATGCCTTGGCCTAGTGTCATAAGAATATGTGAAAAATGTTTGTTCTAGTATTTCTTTCTTAAAAAGGTATTTTTTTTTTTGATATAACATTATTTTAAAAGGCTTTATCCCCACGTGCTTTTTCATCTACAATACTATACCTCTAACACCTGAATCAGCGCTGCAGCTTCCTCTGTCTCCTAGCAATCCAGGGCCACCGAGCATCATAGGCGGTCCGATACCAAGAGAAGCGACACTTTCCCCTTCTGATAGACACCCAGCTGCTTGAAGTTGTCTTCTTGCCTATGAAAAAAGGAAACAATTGAATTTATACACAATATACATGTAGTAATATCTAAAAAATCTATACAAGTATCATAAAGCTGAAGAGTTTGTTTAAAGAGGAATATAACATCACACTGTAACTAATAGGAGCGAAGAAATAGCGAAAAGGTGTCATCAAGACAAAGAGGGAAATGTGGGAAAAGTGGAGAAAATTATTTATCTTTGTAGGCCTCCGTTGCGTTCGCTGCGGAAACGGTTCCAGATACCAAAAAAATATTTCTAACGAAATAACTATTAAACGCGGACGAAGTCGCTGCCACCACTAGTGTTGCACAAAGAAACATAAAATATACGCATTTCTGTGTCCTACTGAATAATTCTATTCTCAGGCGTTATCGTGATATCTTGACAAAAGAAAAAAATATTTTTTTTTACTACTAAGAACAAAACATAATTTAATCTTAACAGTATAGCTTAATATTAACAGGGTAAGATAATGTTATATGCTGCTAGTAGAATAGGATCTTACCCAGTTTATATCAGGCCCTTTGTTGACCTGAAACTGATTTTCAGTAAGCTCTTAGAGTGTGGACAAAAGTGCTACACTCAAGTGAAAAACAAAAAAACCGTTATTGTACAAATGAAAACACAGTCAATTTTACAAAAAAAGTAAGACAAGTCAAGCTGCAAAAATCTTAATTAGCCTAATATTAGTATACAATATATTAAATGTAATATAATATTGCTACAAATGAAATTGTACTAAACAGAATAATAAAAGTAAGTAAACATTATTTCAATTCACTTTTGAAAATTTTAAAAGTCTGTATAAACCGACGGCGATATAACTGGCAAACACACTGGCCTCTAAGTACTGTAGTTTTCGCGAGTACACGACGAATAAAACATTTGCAAACACACAACGTGAAATATAAGGTCGGACATTTCATAAATAATCTAATAACGTACTTTGCATTAAATCTGCTGCAAAGCATTCAAATAAGTTTAACTAATATATCGCGTTTTAAACCGTTAAAGTGTTTTATTTAAATGATTAAATCTTTATGTCTCTTTGAACATTTGTTGAAATTGCATCTTTCTGTCGTTTCGTATTACATATAATATAATCAGTTACACACATCGTTTAAACCGTTGTAAAGAGCGTATACACATAGACAAAAGATCACCCCTAAGTGGAAAAGAGAAGAAATTAAATTTCCAAGTATTGTGCACACAGCTGTACTCGATTCCCTGCACGTTTTACTTTGGAAGAAGTAATTTGAAATGGTAATTAACACCCAGCGCTGTTGATGGATGAGAAACATTCAACCGAGCAATTCATCATAATTCTTTTCGATATTGTTTTGTTTTGCGCTAGATAGGCTAACAACATTATCGATTATTATTATTAACATAAATTATTTATACCTTGGATACTGTCTATAGTTTACGCGAGTAGTACACATTTAAATAAAACCTTTAACGGTTTAAAACGCGATAGCTGCGCTGCAAAGCATCCAAAACGTCGGGCCGAAATTAAAAATAATTTTCAAATAAGTTTAACTAATATATCGCGTTTTAAACCGTTAAAGTGACGATGGCATTATTAATTTTAAATCGGTTCTGGATTGATTATTTTTTTGCGCAAGGGGTGCATGTATCAAAAGATAAAAAAAGTAGAACATAGAGTTTATAGCAACAGCACGTAACGCCGTGGATATCGGTTTAAGTCTTGCCCGTGTCGTACAACATTTTTTCCAAATTATATCGATTTTAATTTACACATGGTCATATAATTACACCCTAAACATAGATATAAAATGTATATGATTATTTTTGTCAACCATGTCTGTTAAATCGTAGAACTTAACCCGTCTGTTCATTCGTTAAAAATAGCCTGGCATTGCGTTAAGTACGAGGGGTTTGGATTCAATGTCCTGGGAATTTTTATTTTTAGTCGAGTTCAAAAATTAATCGACTAGTTGTAAAAATTCGTTCGTTGTTACAAAAAAAAATTGCCGCCCCCCCCCCCCCGGGGGAAATTTTTTTTTTTTTTTTTTTTTTTTTTAAAAAAAAAAAAAAAAATTTTAAAATTTTAATAAAAGGGGGGAAAAAAAAAAAAAAAGGGAAAAAAACACGAGTCTCAAAACAAATAATTATTATTTTTATTAACAAAATAAAAAATATAAAATATATTTAGGATTAATTTAAGTTTTTCATTATTTATTACATTTATAAACATTCTTTTGAGTTTGAGTTAAATGTTTTTTTTTTTAAATATAAGATCGTACATGACTAAATATTAAATGGCATATGTAGATATTAATTACCCTTTTTTGTTACTGTTTATGTTTTTCAAAAAAAAACAAGTATCGACTTAAAAAAACATTTAAGTTAAACAGTTTTATTTTTGTGCACTGAAAACTACAATAGTTTTTTTTGTCATAATCATCGTGTTTTACTAGGGTAGCCCTTTCATTTGATACCCATATTGAGGGGGTTAAGGAAAAATATATAATCCGCCATTCTGTATCGGCGGCCATCTTTGATTTATAATGTTATTGAATTTATTATATTGTATTGTCATCTAAATTAAATGTGTGCACCAAATTTCAGAACAATCTGACAACGGGAAGGTGCTTAAATATGAATTATGTACAGGCCGAGGTAAATAAATCCGTTTGAAAATAGATACCTTTGTTGTTAGTACTATACAAAACAAAAGACAATATCATTGACGACAAACAATCGCCTATAGATTAAAAAACTGTCAATAACGGTGTCCAGATAAATATAAAAGGCCACATGAAATTGGCTTCAAAGTAAGCTAAATTACCCAAGTATATCGAGATATTGTTATATTTTAGTCTGTTAAAACTGTTGTATATTTATAAAATTAAGTGTAGGTGTGTTTAAACACGCTAATATCATAAACTACTGGTTCGAATTGAAAAATTATTTGTATTGGATAGACCAATTACTAAGAAAGATTTTAAGCTATATATCATGCTGCAATGCCATTGGATTTGAAGAAACAGTAAATAATGAAAAAAAAATACTGGAAAAATTATTCATCTTTTAGGACTTTAAGAAGTTTAAGGAACCGAAAAATACGTATGAACGTATAAAATGATCTAAAAAATGTTCCTGACAGTATATCTCTTAAGCTTAACTCGCAAGGACCGTTTTTTTGCCGAATTTCATGCTGATTTACCAACTAATTGTTAGAGTTATATGTAAATGTATGTTTATGTCGATTCCACGCGGACGAAGTCGCAGTCACATCTAGTGCATTAGATATTAATCTTCATTCAAATTGAATCAACGCGGACGTAGCCGCAGGCGCAACTACTGTACTATGTATGATCTATTAACTCGGTTTATACATATGAAGCAAAATCCGCGCTAAGTAAACTAAGGCCAAATGAGTCGTTCGCGTTATGCATGTTCATTGCTATTATCATTCAAATTCAGCCTTCATTTCCTCTGGGCTTCATGAACATGACAGGGGTTTTGTCTCTTGTGGCAGGTGATATCAGTGAGTTAATGTTTGAGGACGTCCTATCTCTTGACAGGAAATTGTGGGGGCTTTGATGTGCAAACGCATCCATGCTCTTGCTGAACTATATTTAATATATAATAGAATTAAATAAAACACTGCCTTTTAACGGTTTAAAACACAAGGGTATTAGCTAAAATAATTTACTAGTTTTAACTACTGCCCGATGCGGACGTTACGGATCCTTAGTCTCTCCTTCGATTTGCAAAGTTAAAATCATTGGGCCGTAGTTAAAAGCTTCTTCATTGTAAATAAGTTAACTAATATACTTCGCATTTTCAATCATTAAAGCTGTTTTATTTAAATTTGTACTACTAGCGTAAACTACAGAGAGTATTTACATTTGATTTTTACTTATTTAATTGATTGGAAACTATACTTTTACATGTTATTGCACATGAAGGCTATATATAATTTAAAAATCGAAAATAACCGTGCTGTTGCTCTACCAATGCTGACGCTGTCGATGCCAGTTCAAGTCCTGCCTGAGTCGAAATTTTTTCAATTTATTTTCGATTTTTAAATTATAGTGATTAACCTGAAAATATATCTAAGCTTGGATTTGGTCACTCTCATTTTTGCTTTTGAAAAAAGGGCGTAATAACACTTATAGTTAAACGTCTTTTGTGTGTTTTGCTTTATTTTAGATAAATAGAATAAATAGCTGTATCAGCGAAATCGTCGGCGTAGAATAGTATTTTACATCAAAACTTGTTTTTTGTAAAACTGTTCAACGCCATAAATTCGAGCTGCTTTCCATTACGTGGTCCACGTCCCGTTATTCTTGCAAGGTTATCTTAAAAGATAGACATATAATGTCAGGACATTTATTAGACCAATTTAAAGAGGAATCATTCATACATATCTTTTGTTAACCTTAAATTTATAAAGATAAAGGCCAATGTAACACTACGCGGACAAAGTCGCCGACAGCTAGTCTTAAAAATGTTTTTGTCCTTACTTCCTTTCTAGAATTAATTTAATACGTTTTGGAAACTTCTTACGACCTTTCAAAAGCTAGGCAACAAAATTCGTATTACTTTATCTGTGGATAATTCATTGAACTATTTCTCACGAGCGAAAGCTAATATTTATCCGGCGTTTCGTCGAAAACTTAATCTAACGATGGTCTAGACTTAGCTGAGAACCAAGTAATAGTTTGGACACGATCGGTATTACTTGACAGTTGACTTTAAGAAGATTAACTACTTGTTATCACCAGCGTACTTACGTACGTAAGTTACTAAGTGTAAATAAAAATAATTTCAGGTAAGGTTTAAAGTACAATTTAGTAATTTAGCTAATAAACAATAGTTTAAATGTTGCCGTAAAGGCTATCGATTATATAATTGAGAAAACGAAAGTTTTAAGTAATATGTAGAAATCCTTACAAATAATAAAAAAAAATGAATATTTAATTTAACTACATATATTATTACGTTATATATAGACAAGACTGAAATGAAGGTGGTCAAAATGTAAACTGTACGCTATTGAATAAATTGTGTAAGAATAAATTCTTCGAGCAATCGAAGAGTTAACATCTCCTGATGATGCCGTCCGCACGTGATGGCGAAACGTCGAGAACCTCTTCTCGCTCACGTCGGCCGAACAGACCGAAAAACAATGATATGCTATACGCTATTCCCAAATCAAAAATAGGAGATAGATGATAGGAATTTAAATAAAACACTTTTTTCGGTTTAAAACGCAAAATATATTAGTTAATTAAGTTTATGTGTTATTAAATTACGGCCCTATTATTAGCGCCATTTGATTCGTCGTAAGGATAGATAATCTAGCTGGGTCCTTACAAAACTGATTCCCAGTGTCCTCTTGTTTTTCGCTGTTTAGTTATCCTAAAAAACGTACATTTTCAGTCCTCCTGTGACCACGACTGCTGCAACGCATCCGAAACGACAGGCCGTAGTTAAAATAGATTGTCAATGTGTGAACTAATATATTTCGCGTTTTAAACCGTTAAAAGCGTTTTATTTAAATGAGTATACTTGCGTAAACTACAGACAATGAATAAGGGTTCCTCACTTCATACAACTGTTCCCTTGCATGCCGGAGTTGTGTGTCCCGCGCGCTTAGAGCAGCTGCCAGCTGCAAAGATCTCTCCGCTTCGTCTCTAGCATGGCGTAATAATGCAGCACGCTCTCGCTCCCGCTCTGCCCGCTCCGCTCCTAACGCTGAGGACGCTCCACTGCGCGACCTCATCTATAATGGGCAAAGATTTATAATAAAATACACAATAGGTAAAGGAGAAGAGGTTCTCGACGTTTCGCCAATACGAGCGAACGGCATCGTCAGGCGATGTTAGCTCCTCGATTGCTCGAAGAATTAATCATAATTCTTGCCACTCGCACTGGCGAAACATTGATAACCTCTTCTCGCTCACATCAGCCGAACAGCCCGAAAACCAATGATATGCTGAACGATGGCCGTGAAAGCCTTAACAATTTATTAGGCAATCACTACTTTTAGAAATAGGCTAATATTTAACATTTTTTTATCCTATAATAAATATTCGATAAGGTAACGCGGGTTGTCTTTTCTATCGCATTTTTTATTTATTAATTCAATTACATTTAAATATAAAACTTAAACGGTTTAAAACGCGATATATTAGTTAAACTTATTCGGAAATGATTTTTCGCTAAATACCAACTTCGGCGGAACAGATGGCGCTAGCGCAGCAATTTTTTACTTTGACGTCAGAGACATCTTCCATCTTTAATCTCCCCGTGACCACGGCTGCTGCAAAGCATCCGAAACGTCAGGCCGAAGTAAAACATCATTTCCAAATAAGTTTAACTAATATATCGCGTTTTAAGCCGTTAAAGTGTTTTATTTAAATGTGTACTACTTGCGTAAACTATAGACGGTATTTAATTCAATTACAGCTAATTCCATGATTTAGATAGCCTATCTTATAGCTAAGAATAAGTTTATAGCTAAGTTAGAGGAGGACGGACTAGCATGGGATTCACATGATGTTAGGTGAAATTATAAATTGAACAATTAGAAACATGTTATACTCAACGGGAATCAAACCCATGACCCGTTGATTATTATCATTGCTACCATTACGCCAAAGAGCCCGTCAAATTACTGATTCACAACTGTCTTCCACATTTTCTTTGATCGTGAAAATCTTAAGGTTTTCTGTGATTCAAAGTCAAGTTCTTGTATACTTTCTACGTTATAATTGAGTATACAAATGTTACGAGTACATTTTTGCATTCACATTTGGCAAACTATCGAATGCCGTTTTCAAATTCGGTTTGTACTTTTTCGAACTCAAACAACTACGACCGTTTAAATATCAAATAGTCGTTCTGAAATACAACTGAGCATTTTTCTTTTACAATGTAACTGAAGAAACAGTTTGTGGGTTCGCCCTATGATTGATTATTTTGATAGTTTTCATCACAGTTGGGAAATATTTAAAAGTTTGAAGTTTGAAGTTCTAAGATTAAAAAACGCATATAATATGATCTACGCTGGCTGGTAATTTTGTATAACCGAGGATTGAACCTCCATCATCTCCAAATCCTCTATGATGGAAAGTTCTACGAACCAAAGTTGTTCGTCCTTTTGCTAACGTTTAGTAGATTTGTCAAAATACTATTTATACAGATATATAAAACATATCTCAAAGAAAAAAAATTTTACCTAAATATATACTAATATTATACAGCTGAAGAGTTTGTTTGTTTGAACTCGTTAATCTCAGGAACTAACATGTCCAAATGAAAAATTATGTTTTGTGTTGAATGGACTATGGATGTAAGCTTTAGGCTTATAAACACCAAGCTGCGACAGAAATGAGCGAAGAGGCAAAGGGAAATGTGGAAAAACGGGGAAGATTATTCATCTTTGAGGGGTTCCGTTGCGTCAAAAATATGTATAATATAATTGTTCCTCATCAAATAATGTAAAAACGTCAGCGACACTATATTTCTATCTTTTAATATTTACCCACGAGAACCGTTATTATGGGACTCAAATCTCGTGAAAAATACAGAATTTGGCAAAAGAAGGTTTGCTAAGTCATCTAGTGGTATATAGATAAAAAAAAATGATTTTTTGCAGTAAAATACGCCGATTTAACATCTAAGATAAAAAAAAAACTAAATTTCTTATAAACACCTTAATAAAACTAACGACAGCACCCAGTATTTGCCAACTACTTTAAACATATAAGTGTTCTTAATCTTGAAGACGGTTGAGTACAGTTGTTTTATCGTATTCGTCTTCAAAGAAGGACTTTATCTCACTAAGGCATCTATTTATACGCTACTGAGAGTGTTTACTCAACATCTGTTCTACCAAGTTGTGGTGTGGGTAAAGTGTGACTATTTTTCTGAAAAGACTTATAAACCAAATGCAATACAGATTGAGTTATTTTGAATTTGTTTTTCATTATTATTATAAAATAAATTTACCATATTAACAGACACAAAAATTACATGTTAAAATCATTTTGTGTTATGAAATTAATAAGAAGTGATTTGAAGTGTGATGGTTAAAAATATTTTGGAAGTAAGAAAAAAATAACGAAGTATGTTTGATCACAAATATCGTGTTATTAAGAACATGTACTAATAATTAATCTATATAATTAAAATAAAACACTTTAACGGTTTAAAACGCGATATATTAGATAAACTTATTTGGAAATGATTTTTAACTTCGGCCCGACGTTTCGGATGCTTTGCAGTAGCCGTGGTCGCGGGGAGACTGACGCGTTTTAAACCGTAAAAGTGTTTTATTTAAATGTGTACTACTCGCGTGAACTATAAACAGTATCTATATCAACAAAAAATACGTTGTTGTATCCTTGTATAACCAATTTTTAACAAACTAGAAATTGTTGAAATTAATTTGTTTAAAGATCTTATGTTTTGAAGGCAACGAAAATATTTTATTGCATCGAAACTCGTGATAGCCGTAACAAAAAATAATTGTGTGAAAATGCAAAGGAAATAGTCAACTTCCCTCTTATATTGGCACTGTACTCACCTGTTCATAATTCCTTATAAAATCTCTGAGTTCTTTCTCTTTGTCTTCGAGAGTCGCGTAAAGCTGCTTCATTTGGTTGAGTAAATCGAATTTCTCTGCTTTAAGCCTCTTTTTGTCAGCTTTGAGAGCTAGAATAAAAAGAGAGACATTATAATTCAGTACAACGAATCGATATAGTGTATCATATATTTTTTAGGCAGGTAACGTTAAGTAGTAGAGCTTTTAATTACTTAAATCTCAAAAGGTGAAAAAAAATGTGTCCTAAATTGACATCCTTAGAAATGTCTTCGTTTCATCTTCATCGTCATCTTCGTCAAAGTTAGGTCTCGATTCTTTTAGGTCCTCTAAAGGTGAGTTTAGAGATAGTAAAAAATCCATGTTCACATATTATGTTCTTATTATAATTAAGCTTGTACACTAATAGTTATAACAAAGATGGCGTCAGTACCAAGCTGGGCGTTAAGCGCGAGAGACAATAAAAAATCGTTTCAAATGGTGGACACAGAACTTTGATAAAACCACAGGGACACAGAAAAGTCTGACGTGCGCCTAAAAAATGAAAATCAAATTTCATATTACGAAACTCTGTACTTATATATCTTGTTAAAGTAAAATCCAGTTCTACATATGTATTGCCCATCCGAATCTATTTAATTTCGCCGGGATTCTTACCCGGGACTTTTCCGGCTTAAGCTACTTTTGAGCCATGGAAGCAATCTACACATGTATTTAATGATAATTACACTTCGATTACACACCTTTTCGGATAAAGAAAATAGGAATGTTTATTTAAATATTCGTTCACTGGGGAAGATACTTTTATACAATTCGGGTCAACAAAGACGATCCACCTTTTTGTTTGTGAGCTTACATTTTATTCAGTGTATTCCCGTATTATGGGTGAATTTGAAAACGTTGAATATGAAGTGGAATATCGATTTCAATTACCGATAACCGAGGCAAATGAAATTTGAATGAACCCACGTTTTCCTAGCGCTGAAATGGAATGCTGAAATATTTTTATGGTGTACGTGTTATGTTAGTTTTCATGCATCTATCTGTTTTACATTTATTTTTAATAACTACCTCAGCGACCATACTGAACCATACGGAATAATTTGAATCATTATCAATATATTTTTTTATTTACAAAGTCTGCGCGGTAACGTGCAAACACATTTCCTTACAATTACAAAATCATAGTCGGCTTTCATAGTATTATTCAAGAGTGTAATCTAAGAGTGGATTCGCAAACAAAAATAACTACGAACTAAAGGTAATACATATCTATACTAATACTATAAGCTAAAGAGGTTGTTTGTTTGTTTGAACGCGTTAATCTCTAACTAGTCAAAAAATTCTGTTTGCGTTGGTTAGAGCATTCGAGGAAGGCTATAAAAACCGTACCGAACCCTGTGACTAATACAAGCGAAGCTACAGCGAGAAATGTGAACAAAACGGGGGGAAAATTTTCATCCCTGTGGGTTACAGATGCGTACGCAAAAACGGCTCAAAACACCCAAAAAAATTTGTATTTAAAAATGATTTCGCTTTAAATGATCTGAAAAAATGTCCACGACATTATATGTCTATCTTTTAAGATTTACTAACAAGAACGACGGGATTCGATAAGACTAGTAAAAAATAATATTTTTATAAGAAGAAAGTGTTAAGACTACAATGTCAATTCGGCAAGGCATGAGGAAGATCCTTTTTAAGTGGCCAAATCAGCCAGATCATTTGCTATACTCCTACTTATAATGGATATGCGGAATTGTAAAGTAACATTTGTGACTTGATCATGGTCGATATACTGGCATTGACGTTTGCCAATCTGTCATTGAAAGATGACAGACAATTATTGACAACTTAATACTAGGACATATTGTTGGGGAAGGGATTTATGGTGGTGGCTGGTAAGGCTCTGGGGCTAATCGAAACGATTGAATCTGGTTTAGAGACAATATTAGTCATAACCGATCGGTCTCGTTATAAGTACTGTAGTTATAACGAACTCACTGCGTTACCAAAAGAAAACCGTTAGGATCAATTCAATGATTACATATTTGTGTTAAGGCGTTTTGAACTATTTATCTAATATTTGTACCGTACGAAGAGACGTTTATATGAGTATCCTATCAGGCCATCCAATAACTCGTTATGTATTTAGTAGATTCGACTTAAAATAAAAATTTATTTATTTTGAAAAAAAATTCCACAACAGCCCGTGTCCTAAATTGAACCAGCAAACTTAGCCGGCGCCTTGTTTAGTAGTATGTGACATGGCTGGGGAATTTTCCTACTCTCAAGTGATTGTCTTTTCTGTCCTCCACTCATAAAACGTCTACAGCGTTTGAGACCAATTCCAATCCAGGTTACCGATATTTGACGCCAAGTCGCAGGTCGCATTTAACCACTGAACATGGAGGCGTGACAGCGATAGTTGACACAAATTTTAGAACTAGCGTAGTATTAACTCCGTAAGCATTATCGTTGTAAAGGACAATAAACCCGCTTAGCGATTAGTGAGGCTCCGTTGCGCAGATAAGCACCCTTTGATCGGTATTTTATAGAGCGCAGCCGTTTGACGGTACATTCCGCTTATACGCTATCCAATATCGTATTACTTTGGATTTAATAATAATAAAATTGCAGATATAGGGGCCCACTGGGTCGAAGCTTTTAGCGTAAATATCGATTCGACACTGGCCGAACGTTCAGTGCGGCTGTTAGCTGTAAAGTTTGCTATATATAATAAGCACCTTTAAATTTAACGGTTTAAAACGTGATATATTTTAGTTAAATATGTTTGAATTATTTTGCAAGGCATCCGAAACGTCGGCCCGTAGAAACAATTTTCAAACAAGTTGAACTTTAAATATATCGCGTTTTAAACCGTTAAAGTGTTTTATTTAAATATTTACTACTCGCGTAACTACAGACAGTATTTAATATAAGCACCTTTTATAAAGTTCAATGTTTTCACTTGCACTTGGTGTTGGTAAAGGTAAGATGGGTTAAAAGAAGGAATTAGTTATTGAATTGTAATTGATGTATCTAACATTTTTTTATTCAAAACGTCTACTCGTTGTTATAAATAAATTAACTAATATAAATCGCGTTGTAAACCGTTCAAAAACGTATAAATTGTATAAGGCTTTCTCGAACATCGTTTAGCATATGCTAAAACAAAAAACCGTCATAAGGACCCCAAAAATACTTATCTATTAGCTAACTTACAACTTTAAAATAATACATTTCGCGTTTTGACCCGTTAGAAAGAGTTTTATTTAAATTTTTACTACCTCCGTTAACTACAGGCACAACACTTAACACAATAATGAATAATAGCATTCTGCAAATTGATAATAGTGGATGAAAAAGAACATCCTGTACTCTAACCAGTGATTAAAAAGTAAACCCCTGTTTACATCACTCCACACACTTATCATCTCCCCTATGTGGTGTGTTACTACCGCGCACACTTCAGTTATCGGCACAAACAGCCGGTTAGTTGTTTATTTACAATATAAACAGCCTCACAGATCTTAAAAATCAAATTTAAATTTTACTTTAAGGTTTAGATTAAAAATAAATTGAAGGGCAAAATATTGCTATGAGAACTTACGACTTTTCGTACACAAAACAAAGTAGAAACAAAGATAAAAAACACCGGACTCTTCCGATATTTATAATATTAGTGCAGATTTCATGTATACTGTCTCTACAGTATACATGAAATCTGTAAAAATAATAAAAATAAATTTAAAGGTTAAATAATAAAAAAAATAAAGGAAAGAATGATTCTTCTTTAAACGATATAAAAACATGTCCGCGCTAGTATATAGTATAGGTATACCTATCTTATAAGAATAGCTTGCAAGAACGATGGGACGCGGAGGACGACGTGGGTATTAGTAATAATTTAAAATCAAACCAAATAAGAATAAAAATGAGGAGATTTAAAAATGCTATCCAAATAATTGTTCACAGCGAGTAAGTACTTTATAATTCGTAAACTTGAAAATAATACCCAAAAGATAGCTTAGAAACGACAATTATATAATAACATCTATTTCATAATATTAATGGCGTTTAGAATGAAAAAAACAAATATATAGTTGGGTACATTCATATAGCGAACTTGTATTAAGACCTCTGCAAGAATTCTACTGAAAGAAGCAGTCTGGAACAGAATGCTTACCGTCAAAGATAAGTACTTAATTAATTCTCAGAAAATCTCAATGCAAAAATGGTAATTAACATTCACTTAAGCTCTCGACTTTTGATTTTTGATCTTTTATGTTCTAATCCTGAAGCTGAAGGAATTAGTATAGTTTGAGAAATTAGGATTACTTAAAATCTATTAAAATTATGTACCTAGTAGTAGGTAAAGTAACGTCAAAAGAAACTTACGAAAAACTTTTGCAAAATCCGTTCCTCTCGTGGAGCATGGCGAAAACATTTACGACTTTAGTTACAAGCAAGTAATTGATCAGTGACTTCTATGTCCTTCACGACGGAAATAATATATTGTTTCCTCGGGCTTCAAACCCAGGAACTCGCACTTAACGCACAACTAGACAGAAGGTTTAGTTTAGCTACAGAACCGGTCGTATATATGAGTGGCCTAATAACAAAAAAATATTTTCAATAAGCAGAAAATTATATTAACAATTTTTGATCACTGTGCTCTTGTAGATTAACATTTAGACTATACAAATATAAATAGCTCAATTGATAGAATTGCAGTTAGGCTACTCTGCCTCTAGCGGCCTCATACTTTCTGTAAATCGGCTTTTATTATTTAATATTAATAGAGTAAAAACTCCTTTTTTTATTATTACTTTTACTAACATATTTAAGCTCACAAACCGGCCCTAGTTAATATTTGAAATTCGCTTATTGATTCTAAAGTGTAGGGATCGTGTAATATACTCGAGTCTCTGAGAAACCAATTCAGTTCGATATTCGGGTAGGTAACGACATTAGCGAAAATGTCAGTGGAAGTTACAAACCAACCCACGAACTACGTGACCCGAAAATGAATTCGCCCGTTTCTATTGGACTTTTTATCGAAATATTATGAATATAGCTAGTTTATTTCAGTGGCAGGTAGTAACTCTACCCTTCGTCCTTAATTTACGTCATTCTCTTCAACGTTATTTACTACTAGCAGTGACAGCGACTTCGTCCGCATAGAATAGTAATTCTGGGCATCCAAATTTGTTTTTGTTCCTTTGTACGCTTCCCGTAATTCCGGTTGTTCTTGAAAGATCGACATATACTGTCGCGAACATTCTTTTAGATCGTGTAAAGAGGAATCATTCCTTCTTATATATTTTTTGGGTATCTTGAACCGTTTTCACAGCGTACGCATTGGAAACCCACAGAGATGAATAATTTTCCTATATTTTCTAATTTTTCCGCTGTTCTTTGTCACAGCGAAATGGTTTTATAGCATTTTTCGATAAATGCTGTAACCAACACAATAATATTTTTTTCAATTCGAAGCATTAGTTCCTTAGATTAGCGCGTTCAAACAAACAAACTCTTCAGCTTTATATATTAGTATAGGTTAAGATATACATAGATACGAATTGCCAGTACTTTGTGAAGTAGGTAAATATAAGGAACCACAAATGTGCCAACCCTTTAGGCTCTAAGTAGCACTTGAGGTACTCAATGTAATACAGAGTTGTAGCGAAGTTCTTACATGAACACTTAATAGAATTTCAAACAAGATTAAGAACCCGTTTTTAAATCTGCGACATCTATTGGCGGACTATGACACTACAATTAACTTTACTGAATTATTTGCCTACCCTGCCCTATAAATTTTTGTTAGACTTATATACTGATAAAAAATTTTATACGATCCAATAATGTTGTACTATATATTTTATATATAAATACGTCACTGCAGTAATTGTGATTATATTATTATATATTTGGTAATACTTTTACCTATATATCTAAACTCATATAAAAAGCTGAAGAGCTTCTTTGTTTGTTTAAGAGCGCTAACCTCAGGAATAGCTGCTTCGAATTACAAAATACTTTTTTTATAATAGATAGATTATTTATGCTTTAAGCTATATGATGAAATATATAATGTATAATATGAAAGAATGATTTCCTTTTATATAATGTAAAAAAATGCCCGCTACTGTATATGTCTTTTTAAAATCGAAAATAAATTTAAAACAATTTGACTCGGGTAATACTTGAACCGGCATCGTCAGTGTTCCGTGCTGTTGCTCTCGAACGCTGACGATGCCGGTTCAAGTCCTACCCGCGTCAAAGAAAATTTCAGGAACTACGAATATGGATGCCCAAAATATGTGAAACTAATCAACATATTTGACGAAAGAAAAGAGAATGGAAAAATACGAATACGAATGTTTTTCCGCTTAACAAAAATGTCATTAAACTTTAAAACGTACCGTGTTTTATTGCTATAAAACATTCTGCAAGACTATTGTTACATCAAAAGCCACCATTGTTATCGTCTGTGGAGATGTAATAGTGAAAATAACGATATTTTCCGCTCTACTTTTTATCTATGGACATAAAAAACGATGTCGAAGGGTTGATTAAAACCGGTACAGGTGCGCACAATTACGTTTTTAATCTGTGAATAGATATTACGGTTTTTAGATAATAAATTTTTTTTTTTCATATCGTTGTTATGAATAAATAAAGGCTTGTATTAGAAGTTAATTTTCAATCTATATAGTATCTATGTGTAATTATGGTATTGGCACTAATGAGGTGGTAAATTCAGACAAGTAAATTGAGATAATGTATAACTTATAAACGGACGTGGGTTTGATCCTCACCGGTTCCAACTTCAATTAATAAATTTTCTAAAACTTATTGGGATTGTCTGGAAGTCTGGATATTAAATGCGTGGTAAAATTTTGGTTTCAGCCAAATTTCCGAATGGCTAAAGCCAAAATAGGTCAACCGCACATTTTGTTTATATGGCATATGGTTGGGTTATATCTGAACTTCTATTGATTTTTGTATTTTACATATTAATTGATGTTTATAAATCTCATAACACTAATGAGAATAATAACATAATAAAAAAGTATATTCACATAAAAATATGTTATTATCCTTTAGCTTTTCAGTCAAGAAAATAATTTTAACCGTTTTAAATGCGGAATTTGCGGAAAAAATATAAATACATGATTAATAAATGATGTTTGTTTTTTTAATCATTAATCCCGGAATTAAACGGTTTATTCTATAATGTGCGACCTGCCAACTACGGACAGTATAAATACTCACAGCTAACAGCTTCTCTCGCCAGCAACAGTTCTCTCTCCATCTGCTGAGCATCCAGAGCCGGCGCCTCTTCTTCGTCCCCCTGAGTTCTTTCAATCAACGCGTTTCCGACTTCCCCCCTTTCCACCGCCGCCACCAGCAACCGTCGCACCCGAGTTAACTCCGCCTGTTCCAAGATTAATTGCCATCGATTTGTTAGCTTTCGACTTACGTGCGACGGGGAAAACATGGCAGTCACGCAAACTAGTACAAGCTGGAGCCCAGTGAACAATTTACAAGCTCGTATTATGCAATGTGTATAACAAACTACAAAATTGTAAATTACGTATACAATATAGTAACTAAATCTTCAATTATGTTTTACGTTCAAACATAGGGCATTGAACATCGAGACATGAGTGTTAGACATTACATAATATGGTTGGTTGCTGCATGGTAGAGGGAAAACTACCCGGTGAGGTTTGAGTCTCGCCTGTGTCGGGTCAATAATGTAAAATTACTAGTGTCTAGTATTAGTACCGCCTCTGTAGCCAATTGGTTAAACGTATTGCCTATCATTGCATTGAGCGCGAGAGGTCCTGGGTTCGAATCCCAGGGAAACATAAATTTTTTTCAGTCAGGCAGGGCACAGTCTGATCAACTACTTGCCCGTTAAAAGAACGGATCAGTGAAACGGACACAGAAATGTGTTCGCCCCATGCCCCACGAGGGGAAACGGGCTTTCACACTTTCATAGTATTAGTACTGTTAAATTTTCCTTTACAAAAATAACAAGTGAAGCTTGCATTTTTCACTTGTTTTTACTAATGATGGCGTTATGAAAATTAAGATCTATTTAGATTGAAAAGTTTACGACAGGGGCGGAATTTGCACCGCAATTCACAGAAATCCGTGCTGCTGCTCTAACCAATTGACCTGACACAGTGATACTTTTTTTTTTAAATTGATTCTCGTGATTATTCATTTAACTGGCAGAGCTCTTCTTGTTATATAAATTATATGTACTACATGTATATAAAGTAGGTTTTAATGTCTGGGCCTTTGTTAATTTCATTATTGGTCCTCCGTCCTTATCAAAAGCAATCAATCTCTTTTTAGCAGCTGTAGAATCCGTGTCACAGTTCATTAAAATAAAACATTAGCCTAAGAGAGGCTTATTTTTATATCTTACAGTTACTGCCCTATGCGGTAAGGACCAATAGTTATATTTGAAACATACCCCACTTTTACCACATTACCTGAAGTCGTTCGTTCTCTTGACGTAAACGACGTGCCATCTGTGCGGCTGTGAGCATTCCTGGTGATGCTGGAACATCTTCCTGACGTGATCGGTCTGAGCGACCACCTGGAGAGGCAGCATCTGTGTACATGTTGTTTATTATTAATACATATTACATGTTGGTGCAGTTTTTAAATATAACACTTTATCGGTTTAAAACGAGACATATATTAGTATGCTGTTTATTCGAATTCAATTAAGTTAAACTAATACTACTAGTACTACTCGTTTAAACTACAGACAGAAGGTAACTGCTGTTATTTACTAACCTTAATATGTACAGATTAATGACATAAACAGACCCTATTTTTATAAGACTCCGCTGTCTATAGACAATATATACGCAATAAAGGAAAAAATTAATAGATATTTGTAAACACATAAATAATTCTTTCAATAAAAGGACTTTGATCACGACTGTGATTAAAATGTTTCCAAAGATGTTTCTAGCAAATCCGCCCTACTCAAATTATTACAAATCACTAATTAGCTAATTTAACATCTCTTTGATATCCGATACAATTTAATTTCATATCTAATTAAGTAAGACTTAATTGGCGCACACATTAAGATTAATTCTGATAATACTTCTGTTTAGATATCAGAGAATAAACTTTGTATTTGTTATAATACTTTTTACATTATAGTCGAGAGACATAAAGTGACTTTGGCTTTTGAGATACGAGTCAATAAATCGAAAGAAATATAATTAGTAAAACTTAATTAATAATATTCGCTTTGTAGCGATAAGTCATCTTTATCCTGTACCAAGTAATGATGGGAAAATAAAACGCTTAACGGTTTAAAACGCGAAATATATTATAACGTATTTTTTAATTAAATTTAGGTGCTGCAGATGTTTCTGATGCTTTGCAGCAGTCGTGGTCACGGGGGGTCCAAGTGCCATTTTACAAAAGTGTTTACGTACTTTCGGCGTATGGTATGAAGTAAGCCATTGGTATATATTTAACTGTCTAATAGGTATTATTCGTTTGAAAACTTTAATTATATTGCGGGAGAGGTTGAAAAGATTCCACGATAATATGTAGGACTCGGTAGCTCAATTGGTTAGGGGTTGTCCATTAATCACGTGACCTTTTTTTAGATTTTTTTAAACCCCCCCCTCCCCCATTGGTGATACGTAGTGAGGTTTAAGACCACCCCCCCTCCCCCCTTCTCAACATCACGTGTATTTTTAGTACCTACAAAGAATCTTAAAATTTTCTGAATATTATCTTAATATAAATACAGGTATAAACTATAATCTTATTTTATTCTGAAATTAAGGACCATAATAAAAATGTCTACACCATTTGTTTAAAAATCGCGCGTTTGACGAAAAAATAAATACACGAGATATCTTACTATAGCTCCCCCCCCCCCACTTGTGTTATTTTCGTGATTTTTCTCAAACCCCTCCCCCCCTTTCAAGGCTCACGTGATTAATGGACAACCCCTTAGATCAACAGCACAGAACGCTGACGACGCCGGTTCATGTCCTGTCCGAGTTGTAATTTTGTTCAATTATTTACGATTTTTTATATAAATATTTGTCGTTTTCACGATGCTATTGATTTGGATTTTCCCTGTAACAATTTTCTACAGGCTACCTAATGTGTGAAGTGAACTCCAATATAATCTAAAGCACCAGGGTGAAAAGTCCTAAAGGGTTATGTGCCCATAAACATACTACAGAACTCTTAGTCACGAACGCGGCCCCGTCCAGACAAATCGATTATTTGAATGTATCACGCATCATAGCGGGTACAGGTAGCTTTGATTGCGATTCGACGTGTGCCAAATAAAGGAAGCTTTAATTGTATTGTGGCTTTAGTTATTTTTTAATAATTCATATAAGAACCATTGAACCAGGAAAAGCCTGGAAGATGATGTGCAAAGATCTGATAGCATAGACTAGTGCTGTATAGGACAAGACTGACAAAAATGGCTATCCTTGGATGAGGCCCATACCCTTCTTCTTAATTTATAACATAATTATGAACATAACATAAATATTTAAATTACTAACATATTTTAAACTGACTTACAAAATTTGTCTAATGTAATATATCACCAACAACTAATGTAAAACGAGAAATAAAAAGGCTTATTATAATTATTATTATAAGAACCATTAAACCACAGACAACATTGGAATTGATTAAGAAGAAAGCGCGGGAAAGTTTCAAATTTAGAATTTCAACACAGATTATTAAGAAACTTCATAACAAAAGTTCGTTATCTGTGACAAAATAAACGAACTTCCTTCCAAGCTAATCAAAAAAGTAAGTACTAAATGACAAACGACAACATCAGACTTTCTTCATTGTGAGTCGGCTGTGCAGTTTGTGAAAATGAGCTTATTCCCCAAGGCAGCGCGCTCATTAGTGCACTGGAACTGCGAGGGGACGGACAATGTATAAAAACTGCCTAATACTCAACTCATATTATAGTTAAAACCTTCATCAATTTTCTGGTTAACAAGCTTAAATGTTTCATCACCTTCCTATTCTATTTTTTATGATAGAGGAAGACAGACAAGCATATAAACTATAGCATCTAAACAAGATGCGTCGACCTATTTTGGCTTTGGATATTCGGAAATCCACAGACTAAAACCTAAACGGCTTTTTTCATCTGTGGACGTTGGTTCGTGACCCGGGCGGAATTTCGATATTCCTATCATTTAATATCCAGATTTTCAATAGCCCGTTAAATGATTAGTATTTCCCTAAATAAGACACTGCCAAAGTATAGATATACAGATAAACCAAAAAACTGTTTAATGATTTCTAATATCGCGCATTGTATAGCTTCACCTGTAACTATGGCAGCTGTAAAACATTCGAAACGTCAGGTCCTAATTGAAATAAATCTATATTAAGTTTTAAAAATATATTGCGCTATTCAAACCGTTAAAAGTGTTTTATAAACGTAGTACACATTTGCCTAAACTATAGATAATATATGATTGTTTCTTTCATCAATTTATCGCGCATTTTTCTCTTACTTTGTAAATGTCGTTACCCCTATGTCTGTCTCGCTTTAACTCCAAAACTACTGAACTGATTTAAATGGAATTTGGTACACAGATATTTTAGATGCCAAATAAGGGTTGGTAGGGGTTGAAAGGGGGGGTGAAAGTTTTATGGAAAGTCGTGGTTTTTGAAGCTAGAACAATGAAACTTTCTTCTTTGGCTTTTTGGGAATAGGAGTGGAAATAGGAGTGGGAGTGGGAATGGGAGTGAGTGTAGGAATGAGAGTGGGAGTTAGAGTTGGAGTGACGTGAGGTGAGAGTGTTGCGGCAAAGTAGCTCTTACAACATAGATTGGCTGCCTTAAATGCGCCCTTACTAAATAATTAAAAATTCTACCCCAAGTTACTATTCCACGCAGACGAAGTCGCGGGCACAGCTAGTTGTCTATATTTAATAGATTATACGCTATTATAGATCATTAAATCCAAAGATATACAAGATCGTGAAGGATGCAAACTCAAAAGCGTATTGCATATCTGTGTATAATCTTTATCGTACTACAGATAAAGGCACCGTGCCAGTACGAGCCGAAGAATTCTCAACTAAGTAACTTACTTTATCACGAACACAAACAGTGAAGCCCAACTAGTTAGCAACTATTATCTCCCGTATTATAGTATCGAACAAGCAAAGGATAGTTTATATTTTTCTTGTAAGCGGTGTACCGAAGTACAAGTAATCGGGACTTTTAGGTCGCACTACAATTGAATTGCTGGAACGATATATCGCGATGACTGAAACGACTTCAAGAAGCTATGGCCCACAAGGGCACAATTCATATACTTTTAATTAATATAATTTGGAAGCCGTAAAATTATTTTAAAGTAAAGATAATCATCGGTTAAACTTTCTATTTAAAAAAGTCAATGTCCTCTTAATTCTTAGCGTAAGATTGCCGCCTTTGTGAGATAGGTCTAAATAGGTCCTGGGTTCAAATCCCGATAAAAAATAGTATTCGTTAAAACCTGTAGTCATGCCTCACAAATTTAATCAATTGCATGTTTGTAAGTAACATAATACGGTATTTTAAATGCACCATATACCCAGTATGGCAATCGGGGTTACACGAACTTCAAGACAATCTATCAAGAACAGCGTAACTATTAAAAAAATTGTCGCCATGTTAACTGCAATCTTACCTCCATCTAAAGAAGCTGTAATATCAGCTCTTGGTTCCGGCCCGTCACTACTTCGACCTGGAGACGTGGCATCCGGCAAAGGAACTTCTTCTTCCGAACTATCAGCTGGATCTAGTGGATTCTTATCACTGGTATTGCTATTCCCTATTTCTGCATACGTTCCGCTATCGCTACCGTTCTGCGTCGACCATTTTATTGGGGATTCGAGTTTTCCGTTCGTTTGATTTTCTTTATTGTCATCGTCTGGGGAAGAAACTGTTGTATCTATTAATTTAGTAGTAATTTTTCGAACAATTTTTTAATGATAAGATACTGAACTTCTGCCGCCAAAGTTGTCTATTATTTTGTTTTTAATTTCGTATTTCTATCTTATCCTCTCTCCTATTCTTCAAATATCTGTCCAGTGTTATTACCGTAAAGTGCCCAATATTCGGTTAAGCGCATTGCTTAGAAATGGCTAAGATACTTGCAAATAACTTTGGTGAAGTTAAAAACAAAATTTTAGATTGAAAATGGATTGGAAATGTTCTTACCAAGCGATTTTTAATTTATATTATGCCATCATGTGTCATCATAACACGTGGAAAATATTAATACTTTCAAACTCTGGTCAATTCATTTTCTTTTGAGCAAGATAAAAATATTATTATGTTTACGTCTTTAAAGTATGCAACTTACCAATAAAAGGATTGTCTTTCCCATTTCGTATAGATAGTCTCGCTGATCGATTTAGTGTGGCTTCTCTATCTCCATTGAGGGATCCGTTTCGCGGTTTGTCCAGGTTGCTAATGAGGAGGCGTCGCTCAGGGGGAATCGGTCTGTCTAAATCCGATCTGTCGAGCGCTGAACACGCTGGAGTGATGAGAGGGTCTGCTGGTTCAGGCTCTATTTCCGTTTCCACCCTGGTACCTACTGACACTTGTTCGTCTACCATTTTTCGAAGTTTCGCCTGTTAAATAGACAATTATATGAAAAGAGTATTATGGTTTTAAAAAAAAAAAAATTTGGAATTCGAATAACAAGGACATAACTAGACCAAGCAGTAATAAAAGATAAAATACTTGTGACCACAGGCTTGCTTAAGTAGGAGAGTTATACAAACAGCACCCTGTTAACTAAATTATTTTTTATTAAATTACAAATAAAATATACTTTTGTTGTTGTTGGTATTCCGTGTCTTAAAGTGGAAAATTTACGAAAATTCAATTTTACGATGAGCTCTGCAAAGTAACGCTTCTTTAAAAGTTATTATTATTCATTCAGTTTGAAAAATAAATATTACTTTAATATCATAGTTACTAACATAATTTATACAGTTTTAAAGCCAAGATTCATTCTGTGTGGCTACGCCAACTGAGTCAGTAAACCTTCGTTTGAAAACGTTAATCTGTTGACATTATATAGATTAAAAGTCTATTTACGTACCGACATTTTCTTTAATCCGAATAAATCGTACTTTTAAGTAAAATTTCTTTGTATTTCACCCGTGTCTAATATCTTCAATATTAATTTATTATGAAGTAACTATGTAAAACTCATGGTATTATGTAAATAGAAGCCACAAGAATAAGTTCAGTACCAAAATTATTACAGAGCATTGTGGCTCGCCGCGTCGCACTTAATCACGCTACGGAATCTAATTTGTTTTATATCTAGGCCACAATGCCAGTAATATTTAATACGCACTAATAAAAACAATACCCTTCTGTCCCGTTTAGCTTAGAATTATGGGGGCTCTATAACAGGAGTGGCCACGCTTTTTGATAGACCAAACTTTTCTTGTAACTTCAAATTAAGTATTTTAGTTAGAGCGCAAATACTTTGTAATTTCTAGAGATATTTTGAACAAGGATCTGTAGATCTGTAGATCCGTTTTTTTATGACAGAGGAGTACACATGAGCTAGGGTGAAATATCCCAGCGGCATAACATTTCAACAAAATGTGTTGTCAAAATATTTTGGCTTTAAATTAACACCTATACTAAAACTTCAGGGCTTTTTTATCTGTGGACGGTTGTTTGTGACCCACACAGCATTGAGATATTCCTACCACCCCTATAATATCCAGATCTCTCGACACTTGACGTTAAATATTAAACACATTAGTTTTAGACGCAAAAGGTTTGTCACCCCTGCTCTATAGTTCATTAAATAAACATGGAGCTTATATTAAAAGCATTCCGGCCTTGCGTCGATGTCTTATCTTCGTCTATTAATCTAAACAGTATCGCCTATTCAGTTTCCTACACCTGACAGCGTTTTACGTAATAGACAATTTACTCCGATCTTTATTATTCTGATAACTAGCTGTTATCATCTATTATGCTTGTAAATCGGTGAAGGCATTTAATACAGTATAGAATGTTGAAAATATCGATAGAATTGTTTTTTTATGCAACACTGTTATACAAATATTTACATACTAGCTGTGTCAGCGACTTCCTCCGCGTAGATTATCTATTATTTTAGCCTTATTTTGGGCACCCAAACTTGTTGTCTTTGCAAACTTCCTCTTCTTCTTCTAATTTAAGCTATTACCACGACGTCGGTTGCGTCCCGTCGTTCTTGCAAGTTAATCTTAAAAGATAGACGTACTCGTATAGTGCCGCGGATATTTTATTAGACTTTCTAAAGAGGATTATCCTTTCATACATATTTTTGAGTATCTTGAAACGTTTTCGCAGCGTACGCATCGGAACCCCAATAAAAAAATAAATTCCCCGGTCTTCCACACTTCCCCCTGTCTCTTCGCCCCTTTTAGTTACTTCGCGATGTGTTACAGCTTATAGCCTTCCTCGACAAATGCTCTAACCAACATAAAATAACTTTTCAATTTGAACCTCAGATAGGATATTCAAACAAACCACCTCTTCAGCTTTATATATTAGTATAGATTTATAATCGATTTTTAATTTATATAGGTGCAAATAACAAGTGAAAGATATTAAAGTTTTCAAAGGGCGTGCTTTCACTCATAAATGGGTAACGAAATTATGTACAACATCATCTAACCCGAATCTTTATGGGTCCACAATTTATTCTCTGGTCTCCGGACCTATCAGGATTATATCCCGGGCCCTAGTATATCTGAACTAATCAAAGGGTACACCAGTAGACTTGACTCCGGTCCAACATTTTTAACATATAGTTTTATAATTTAACAATTGAAAATGTATTCGAGCTTTATTTTCGATTTTTTCTAAAATTTAATTTTTTCTTTATTTCATCTGGTAATCTAGCTTGGGTTATAGGAATTCCGTCCGTGTTACAAATAACCGATTATGCCGTAAAGTTTCATCACATTTCCGGTTTCAGTCTGTGGATTTCCGAATGGCCAAAACACCACGCGCATCTTGTGTGAAGTGCACCATGCTTCTCTATCATTAAAAAAATATAATTTGTGGTAATAATTACCTGCGCGTCACCTAGAATCCGGCGCACAAGCGCCATCAGGCCGGTATGGTGAGTGCTGTCATGCTATCCACCTGCGAACCCTCGTCGCATGCTGGCTTTGTTCACAGAAACTTTGGTCCTCCGCTTAACTGTGTTTTAATAAAGTTTCCATTAACAGGTGCACTTAAGCTTTTGTTTGCCGCTGTCGTCGCCTCAACTTCTTTTAATCTGCAACAAGGAAACATCTTTCAGTTGAAGCCGTTTTATATTGCTAAAGTACGGCAAGTTTTTCCATGACAGTATCTGATTTTGAAAATGTATTAGGATCAATTATATGTATCAACATAATTTATTTAAAAATGTCAAAAACTAATTTATAACGGGTAATTAAATTTTAAACCCGATGTTACTGATACTTTTCAGCAACCGTAGTCACGTTCCTAATGTGAAAATCAAATCTACGCTAGCGCCATCTGTTTCGTAATTTCCATTTTGAAATAAAACACTTTAACGGTTTAAAAACGCGATATATATAAACTTATTTGATAATGATTTTGAACTTCGGCCCGACGTTTCGGATGCTTTGCATCAGCCGTGGTCACGGGGGATCATTTTCAAATAAGTTTAATTAATATATAGCGTTTTAAACCGTTAAAGTGATTTATTTAAATGTGCACTACTCACGTAAACTATAGACAGTACGTAATTTACATTTGCAAATTTTACGCCATTAGACGTGTACCTAATGCCAAAATTAATCATTTGATTTTTCATTTTACGAGCTATATAATCCCGCTACAGAAATTGTAGCTTAGATTTTGAGCAAATCATATTTTTTAATTATATCTCCTCATTTATTACTTTACTTAAGATAACTGTTTTATTTGTTATATGAACATCAAACGACAATAGACTTAAAACCAAAGAGCCTTTAAAATCGTTAACATCTTTGTGTAGGTTATTTTATCAAACCCGCGTGTAGGTAAGCAGAGCTAGTATAACAATGTTTGAATTGTAACAAAATGCCATTGTACGCCGCTTTGAATGGTCCTTTTATTGCCAATGAATACGGTATTGTGCGTCTAAGCTAAATATACGTATAAAATGATATGTTCCTTCTACATAATTTGTTTGTTGTCGTATTTTATTACCTGGCCGGCTGGCTTAAGATAAAATAGTGAAATATGATTGATATTTTAATTTAAAAATTTATTATTTAAATAAAAATTAAGGTTTAAAGGATATATTAGTTAAATTATTTAAAATGATTTTTAATTCGGCCAAGTTTGGATGTTTGAAGGTAAGTTAAATGAAGGTTTCAACCTTCATACCTATAGTAGTTTCGTTCAAATGTCTGTAAAATCCTTGTACTAAATTAAACAACAAAAGAGACATAAAAATATGGCCGAAACCCCGTCATAGAAAAAACAGGGTCCACATTTTCAAGTGGCACTAAACTGACTGTAATCCGCCGTACATTTCAGTAAGATGCAATCAATTACATATTCCAAGATCGTACCGTGTGTAGGTTTACGCCGGTAACTTACGTAAAATGAACTCAACTCATCAAGATAATCCAACATCGTTGTCAATCCGGTCACATCCCGCAAGATTTACATAAAAGGGTCTTGCGCCAACAAGAGTAACGTCCCAAATTAAGTTCCGCAGGTTTTAACTTTCCCCTACTTTCATATTTGGGACAAAAAATGTTCCGAAGCCCGACGGGCACGTATTTCATAGTTCCCAACTCTCTCTTTTTGCTCGATTTTCCACTTTGTGTGAAAAACACTGCATTCAAATGACAGACAGAATCAATACGTGCTACCGTTATTGTTATTCGATATTTAAAATGTTACTTTCTATGCGTAGAAATACGCTGTAAATTATAAAGTTGTTTTATTCTATTTCGAATCTAAATACAATGAAATTTAAGTGAAGGTAGTTGGTTTTAAGAGCTGGGATTACTTGGGATTCGGCAGAAATGCTTAAAAGAGCCTTCCATTAGTAGTTCCTTAGTAGCATTCCAAAAAAAGTACAATAATTAATTATATAAAATGCACTATAATATACGTGATTTAATATAAGACTTAACGCTAGGACTATATTAACACTCAATTTTATAGCGTTAGTCTAATTTGAGGAATATAAGGAAACCTCCTCATATCAGAAATTATTACAATATTTACTCCTTCATTATATAGAAATTAAACAAAGACATATTGAGCAGCGTTAGTTTCATTATTTCTTTTTTTTTTTGTATGAAGTAACTTAAATACTTCTAGTAGAGAAATAATAACTCTTAGATAGGCTCTTTCGTCGTCATATATATAAAGCTTTCTTTGAATGATTCTGTAGTTTAGTGCAGTCTTTCGTCTCTAGAGCAACCTCTTATATAATACTTGAATTTAAATTTAAATTAAGAAATTGTATTCTTAAATTTGATATTTCAAATAAATCTCAGATTAGAACTTAAAATAGTGAGTACATTAAGCACAGCATATACCTAGTCTTACATGTATGGGCGTGTCGACATACACCTTC